ATTATCTGGGGATTGGTTTTTAGTACCAGCATATTCTTTTAATAAGGCCAATTCTAACACAGCTAATCACTGTCAATAATTTGTGCAGCTTAAGAAACAAACTTCAATCTAACAACAAACACCACGAAAAGAAAATATTACAAAATCCATCACAGATGTGCACATCAGATTACAGGAAAAAAAATTATGAATTTGCAGAGAACACTTCAGCTCTGAAAATCAGACCTTGGAAGTACCCTCTGCCCCTGTGCCCCTTTCTCTGATTGGATCTGGACAGCTCCTTTGAGAACCTCCATTTAGAGAGAGTGCCAAGGCCTTTCCATTTCTCACCAGGCTGCCATTTAGACTCTACCCTCATGTCATTCACCTGCAACACTCCCTTCCACCTTCCTTTTATGTGCTGTATTCTCCCCATTAGAATATAAGCTCCTTGAGAGAAGAGGATATCTTTTGTTGTTGTGTAATTGTATTCCCAGTGTTTAGCACAGTGTGCAGCATATAGTAACTACTTAAAAATTCATATTGACTGAACTGACTGGCTGAATGGACAGGCAGTAAGCTCAGCAAATGAGGAAAAACCTTAAGTCCTTGTTTTCAAAGCTATTTTAATAGCTGGTACATAAGAGGATTTTAAATCAAGTATATACTTTATATACTTGTTCAGGAAACAGAAAAACAAAACTTTAGTTATTTCACAACTTATAAATGCCTAAAAACCGTTGCTCTTTGACAATCAAATCTGCCAGTCTCCAGCCCTTCCAGAGAGACTTAACAAATGTTTCCAAGCTGCATATGCACGCCACATAATATTGCTTTATGTGAGGTAGAACGCAAACAGTGACAATACAATCCTTCTTGAGTACTGTTCAAAAGAAGGATGGCCAGAGATTCTGAGTGCCACAAAAGCAATGCCACAGATTCTCCACTTTACTCTTTAGTCATGTCACACTGGCAGGTCTACACATCAAGAAAAGACTACCCAACAGTTTAACACCAGCACAGAGAGATGTTAGAAACTAAAGTGTCATGGTGAATAATTTCAACTGCAGCATTTAATATCGCAACGATAGCACTCACATACATTATCAAAGGGAGTACACATTATGGTTAATAGTCAAATGAGGGCAATTCCCTAACGAGAAAGCGAGCGAGAGATAAGGCTTGAAGACAGCTAATACAATCCACTCAAGCTTTTTATTTCTAATGACAATTTTTAAAAAAATTTCCTTGCTAATGGATAAGAAAGGCACAAACTTCTTTGGTTTTACACACGTTGGCCAGTTTGGTTTACATTATCTCTGGAACGTCAGGGTTAGTATTAAGTTGTTTAAGGACACAAGGCAACCAATAAACTCTAAAGCTGGAAGTGGAACACACTTGATGTCATGAAGGAGGACACGTGTATGTTCTTCAATTTCAAAAAACTGACGTGGATATTTCTCCTCCCAATATAGAGAAGAAAAAACAAATGACCTAGTGGCCAACCCTCTAAGGATGAGCCTCTCCAAACCTGGCCTTTGATGAAAGACATAATACTGAGCTCATATTCAAAGTATTTCCAACATGTCAAAAGCATGCACTCCCTTGGCAAAGCCTTTGAGAACTCAGGGTCACCTTCACACTAACAGGACTTCAGAGCAGGCCTACAGTGACACAGCTTATATAGGTATATTGGCTAATACAGACATGTGATTGCATCGATGTAGGAAACCTCTCAGTGTTTGGAGACTTTATCAGTGCAGATAAGCAACATGACCATTAATCTGTAATCCTGAAGAGGTGTCAGGGACACTAGTACGTTAAGTGATTTGCCCACGGTCATAAAGCTAATATGTGTGAGAGGCAATACTTGAACCTAGTGCTTACTGAATTCAAGGCCAGACATCTTTTCACCACACTATGTCACCTTCTTGTATGTTCTTACTCTCATAAAATTATAAGGAATACAGTACACCTTGACTATCTTCCAGTGGATACCAGAGTTAAGCGATAAGAGAGTTAGCTGTTCTTGACTTCAGTGCTATTACCAAGTCCCTTGTTTACTCTTCCTTCCTTCCTAAGCATCCAGGAAATGAGCCAATGCTTGCTCCTAATACTCAGAATCAACTATCAGCCAAAGTGTTTAACACCAAAACGTTTCCATACCTCTCCTCCCTGTAAGTACAGGGTCCACTAGATGATTCGCTCGCCCTTCCCTGAACTGAGCATTGACAGCTGCTGGTTCCATGTCCTCAGACAGGCTACTGCCCAAGTCTGGGACGTAGCTCCCTTCTCAGGATCTTCATTCCAGGCTCAGTTCAAGCACGACTTCCTGCTTTGCAGAGTCTGCAATGATTCCAGCTGCCCGTCCTCATCTCAACTGACCATGTGCTCATGTTGTTATCTATCCCCACAAAATAAGCTGTTTCCAATTTCATCTTTGTATACTCAGCACCTAGCCTGGCCCCCGCCACATAACAAGTTATCTAATAAATTTTTGCTGAACTGAAAGGAAACAAATGGCAAGTCTGGAGAGAAAGGAAGGAAGCTTAGGCTACTGCTTTAAAAGATGATGCCTTCCATTTCCAGCATGGCATGAGAATGAGATAAAATAAAGAAGACGGATGGCTTTCCAGTCTGTTCTGGATGTGATCTTCACAGAAAATCTGTTATTTTATTGGAGGTTTTAGTTCCTATAATTATCAGTCACATCAAGATATTTTTCACTGAGCATTGGGCTAGGTGCTGTGGGAGATACAAGAAAGCATAAAATACAGTACTTGCCCTCCAAAAGTTTACAAGTTTAGTTGGACAGACAAGACATAATAACAGCCCCCAGGGGCAGCAAGGCGGCGCAGTGAACAGATAGAGCACCAGCCCTGGAGTCAGCAGAACCCGAGTTCAAACGTGGCCTCAAACATTTGACACTAGCTGCGTGACCCTAGGCAAGTGACTTAACCCTAACTGCCTAACCAAAAACACCCCAGCACCTACCTCCCAGGATTACTGTGAGGACCGAAGGAGATCACATTTGTAAAACACTGACACTTGATAAATACTTCTTTCCTCCCTCCCTCCATCTGTAAGGGAAGGAGAAGATGTTCAATACATCACTCCCCATCTTCTGAGTTAATTCATTTATCTATGGAACTCCCATCCTTGGCCCTGCCATCCTGATCAGGGTCTTAGAGAACCCACTTACCTAGTGCATTATATCAAGCGGCCCCAGACCCCAGCCCATATTTATCTTTCTACCCCATCTAGTTGTCCATCCAGATCATCTCACCATCTGCTCTTCCTTCTCCCACTTCCCTCTCACTGCCCACCTCTTGTTCAGGGTAAAGTTAAGTAAATCAATTACTCAAAAACATTTATTAGGTGCCTCTTATGACAGGTACTGGGTATACAAATACAAAAAATGGATCAGTCCCTACTTACAAGGAGCTTACATTCTAACGGGGGATATGAATACACAAACATAAAGTGAATAAACACAAATATTTACAAGGTGGTTGGGAAAGGGCCCTGGAATGGTTAGGGGGTGAGAGTGAGAGGCAAGAAAGGCTTAATGCAGAAGAGGGTGCTGAGCTGCACCTTAAAGGTAAAAAGGGACTTTAGGGGGTAAAGGGGTGCATGCCAGACATAGGAGGCAGCCAGAACAAAGGCAAGAGGAAGGAAAATGGAATGTCATATCTGAGGAATGGAGAGAAGGTAAATTTGGCTGGATCACAGAGGATGGAAGGGGAAGTAATGTCAAATGAATCTGGAAAGCTAGCACCAGGTTAGAGAAGGCTTTAAAAGCTAAACAGAGGAGTTTATATTTTATCCTAGAGCTGAAGTGGGGGACCTGTGGCCTTCTAGGTCCTTGGGTGAGGCATTTTGACTGAGTCCAAGCTTTACAGAATAAATCCTTTTATTGGGGGATTTGTTCTGTGAAGTTCGAATTTGATCAAAATGCCAAACTTGAGGCCCTCTAGGGCCACACTTGGGATCAAGGCCACAGGTTCCCAAACCCTGTCCTAGAGGCAACAGCTACTAGAATTTATTGAGTAGGGAAGTCACGGTCAATTCTGTACTTAAGGAAAATTACTTTGAAATAGTACTACTGTTTTTGGTAAAGTCCCTATGGATCAACTCATTCCTCCTGCAATTTTCCTCATCAAAACTCCTTTCTCTGGTCAACACTCCCCCAAAAAGTGCTATCTCTTGCTATTAGGATACAAGCTACAGGAGAGTATGGAGTATGGACTATTTCACTTTTTATTTTTGTATTCCCAGTGCCTAGCATGACATATGGCACAAGAGTGCTTTAATAAATAATTTTTTCATTTATTTATCCTTCACCTCCAACTAGCTCCCAAGGCCATCTTGCTAAAGCCATGGCAGTGATGGAAGCTATCACGTGAAAAAGTACAACATTTTCTCAAAGCTGCAAACACCTACTCTGATCATAGGGACTGTTTTGTGGTGTCATTTAAGTAAAGGGAGACAGTGTTTTACAAGCAAGAAAAATCTTAAAACTGAAGTCACCATCATAGGGATAACAGAAGCTAGAGTAGCAGAAGTCACACAATCCATGCACTCCCTATGGCTAGAGCCTCAATTCTGATACTCCTTGGTGACAGAATATGTAACCAAAAGCAGGAAGCCACAAAAATGGGGCACAATGATTACAACAGCAGGCCTGTGGAAATAATTCCACTTGCTCAAGACAGGCCATGATTTTGTGCTGCTGGAGTATCATGAGTTATAAGAAAGGGTAGTTAACATGCAGTTGGCTTCCTCCACCCCCTGCTTCTCTTAGCTCCCCCAAGGCACATGAAAACCTGCATGAGATAAATCTACAGACTGATGAAAAACAGCTGAAAGAATTACAGGTCCCTGAAGTCAGGAGGACCTGAGTTCAAATTCTGCCTCAGAACAAACACCTGACACTTAATAGCTGTGTGACCTGGGCAAGTCATTTAACCTCAATTGCCTTAAAAAAAAAAAAAGAATTATAGGTAAAATTTTCACTATACCTGGCTACGTACTGTATTGCTCATATGGCTGTCTTCTGTCATCTGTGCATTCTGGAAGTAGGGTAAGGGTGCAGATAGCTCCGTCATTGGAGCAGCCTTATGGACACACTTCTCTTCCGCAGAAACACAAAACCTCTTGCAATGCTAAAAAAGGGAAAAAAAGAGAATATATTAATATGTTAAGGTTACATTTGTCTTAAAAAAAACCTGTATAAGTTACATGTTACAAAAGCAATCTTTTTTAAAAGTTTTTATTTTTAATATACTTTTCAATATAACCAAACTATTTAGTTGACCTGAAGGGTTTACTATTACCTTCAGATTACATCAGGATCTCCAGTTATCAAGCTGGATTCCATCAATTCAATTAGGGTTGAACAATTCACCCTGGTAAACAAAACTCATGCTAATCAAATATTCATAAGATTAGGCAATAAGCCAGAAAGTTATTCTATTAACATAAAATGAAAAATACACTTTGTCTGAGTAGAAGGTACCCTCTTCCTGATGAGAGAGTCTATTCAGGAAACAACTTATAAGATCAGAAGGCTAATGAATACAGAATTAGCGTAAAGGCAGCTGAATAATATTTAGAGAAATGTTCTTTAAGCTACAGTAGACTAATTAATAAACTATCCCTATTATCTATTTAAAGAACCAGAAACAGTGATGTAGAATCAAAGTATCTTCTCTCCTTGAGTCAATGCTGTAAATTCTTACTCTTGAGCTACTCTTTTGTCTGGGTTCCATGCTAGGTCTTCCTTTTTAAAATAATCTTTGCAAAGTGGATAGAACACCGGCCCTGGAGTCAGAAGGACCTGAGTTCAAATCCGGTCTCAGTCCATAACACCAGCTGTATTACTCTAGGCAAGTCACTTAACCCCAATTGCCTCATAAAAATACAAAACAAAAGAAAACAAAATAAAAGAATCTTTAAATTCTTCAAAGTTCATTTACATTTATTATCTCATCTGATATTCACGACAACAATAAGCTAAAGCAGATATTATTATCCCCACGTGACAGGTGAGGAAAAAGAATTGCAGAAGTTAAGTTTGCAAAACCTCATACTATTAGTGAGGGAAAGGGCCAAGTAAGTCTTCTCCTGCTGCCCCAGACTCCTTCCTCTATCTTCTCATTTAAAGGAATACAATTATCTCTTTCATCCAACAAGGTTTCAATATTTTACCTATAATTCTTTCTTAAATGGGAATTTTGGGGGAGTTTTGTGGAAGCCGAAGACAACACAGAGCCTATGACCAAATACTTAATCCAAATTTTCCAATAAGGTTCTATAAACACCCCATAAAAGAGAAAGAAAAAATTCAGACTTCTCTGGTACATAGGGAAGGCTAAAAAACTTTACACATTTTCTAGATCATGGGGGCACCATGCCTGTAACCAGTGGAAGAGATAACTTATTTCCACTACAATACAGAATGCCTACTGTACTCACCTGTAACATTTTTCAAATTTCTCTCTAGTTGATCTTACCGTTCTAATCAGAGACTTTTTACCTAATTCTCCTTTGGGGCCTCCAAATCCCTGACAGCCCGGAGAAGACTAATGAAATTCTACTTGAACAGAATTTATCCTTTTTAAGATTTTAATCTTCAGGGCAGCTAGGTGGTGCCAGTGGATAGAGCTCCGGCCTTGGAGTCAGGAAGACCTGAGTTCAAACGTGGCATCAGACACTTGACACTTACTAGCTGTGTGACTCTGGGCAAATCACTTAACCCCAACTCCCTCACCAAAAAAAAAGGAAAAAAGAATGTTAATCTTCCACTAAAGTCCCACTTTGATACGTTATTGCAGTATGAAGAGAAACACAGATTCTCAAAGGCCAGGCCAGCAGAGCACAAGCTCATGCTGCAAAAATCCTGAGCGTGGGGCTGGTAACAGGCTGTATGGTTGCTGGCCAAGGACCATGCAACTAATTACCAGGTGGGCTGCAAGGTGATCAGCAAATCTTAATGATCTTCCATTGAGTTGTGGAGGCCTCCTGAGATGCATCAGTAGCAAGAATGCTCTTAACAATAAACTCCTCAGTCCTGGAAAGTTTATGGAAATCCAGCAAAGTCTAACTGTTTACAGACTCAAAGAAAAACTCTGACCATTGAACTATACTAAACGTGAGAACTTTTTCACCCAATGATGTACTGTTGAATTTCCCCTCATTTCAGGATTCTCTTACCATAAAGAATCATTACAATTTTTTCTTCTTTCACCCAAACCACATAAAAGCAGGTGTTCTTTTCCATTTGGCAAAGGCACAGAATCACAGGTAGCTCTTGATTATTAGTATACAGATTATTCATGACAATGTTTTTGTCCTAGACCAGCTTCCCTGCCAACTGAAAATATTTTTCTGTACCACCTGCCCCAACAATCAGCTGAAACTGTGTTGCAAACCAATTTAATATTACCTGTGTTTATTTTAAACCAGGAATAATTTTAATTTTAGAAAAGCAGTGTTGCATAGTGTATGGAGAGCCTGCACTGACATCAGGCAGCTGAGTAAAAGCCTGACCCCCCCCCACACATCCTGGCTGAGAGACCCTAGGCAAGTCTCTAAGCCTCTCTCAATACCCAGGTCACCTTCTAAGACTAGAGTTCACACAGTGGGTACTGATCTCCAATAGTAGAAGTTACCTCATCAGGAGTACTAGCAATGGCTGGTCCAATAGTAATCATAACCATTTTAATATTAACTCAACAAATCTTAATATTAACTAAACCTGAATGCTACAATGGTACACCTTAAGATACTGAACAAGTCCAAAGGTCTCCAGGATGTTGAGTGAATTTACATAAATACATGAGCAAGAATCATACCAGATAAAAAGGCTGCATTCCGTACCCATGAAGGCAGCAGGTACCCATATTGATCAGATCACAGGTTTACTTTAAGTATTAACTATGAGGACATAACTAACAAGACTATAAAAACATGTTATTATGATTATTAAAATAATACAAGGTGGGCAGCATAGGGCAGTAGATAGAAATCTGACTTCTGAATCAGAAAAACCTGGGTTTAAGTCTTGCTTCTGACCCACAATGACCATGTAACCCTGGGAAAGTCACTTAACTCCTCTACACTCCAGGTAATTCTCTAAGATTGTAATTTGAGGAGAAGGTGACAATCTGCATTGGTAAGGGGAATTTCCTCATGAAATCACAGATCCTATCTTCTAAAGTAATACAATGATCTTTAAATAAAAAATAAATTATTTGAGGATTAGCTACTACTTTGAATTACCTATTAACTGTGCTTTTTTTAATAAAGTGATCTCTAACTTTCCGTTAGCTCATTTCATCAGTAAAAATTTTTGAGCGTACTCTTACAATATATGTGTATTTGTTTGTAAATCATACATGTATTACTATACTAATATGTGATTAAAATATACACAAAAATAAAAATTTTTAAATGATATAAAAATGAAACAATTTTTTAAAAATGTAACTTCATTAGTGGTATAAAAACCTTTTTGGCTCTTATTAAAACAATAATAATATTTTTGGTGAAAGCAGTGATATTGAATACATTATTTAAAAAAAAAAGAAAAAGAAAAATCCCTGTGCATGTCTTGAGGGATATGGTGAATGAATGAATGAGAGAGAGAGGGAAAGAAAGAAGGAAAGCAATAAGGAAAAAAGGCATTTTTAAGAGCTTACTATGTGCCAAGCACTGTGCTAAAGCACTGGGCATACACATACAAAAATGACAAGCCTTGCCCTCAAGAAGTTTACATTGTAATGGGAGAAGACTACACAATTGGGGCAATTTCTTTATTTTGCTGGTGGTCAGGGAAAGGCATTATGATCTGGAAAGTCACAAAGATGGTAAATGGAACAGGGCAGTCATGAATGGAACAACAGGGCAATCCCCTGACACGTCCTTTTTTCAGAGACAATGGGGTAGAATTTATTAGATTATGTAATTCTCAGAGCAAGGGGCAGGTGGGGGTGGAGGGTCCACAGCAGCACAGCAAGGGGGCAAAACCAAATAATGGCCAGGCTGAAGCCAAGGCTGTATGGTCCCAGGGAGTGCGTAGCAGAGTGGCTCAGTTCCTCAGAGCCATCATCTCTGAATGTCCAATTTGGAGGGTGAAGCGGCAGCAGGAGCAACAAAAAGCTGGGTAGAAGAGGGTAAGTTTTAGAGAAAAGATAAGTAATGAAATCTGTGCTAGAGATGTCAACTCATCCCTGCAGGCTCACCTAGTGCAATTCACAGTACCACTTAAAATGAAAAGAGGTGGGGCTCCTATGCACAGGTCACTGCTCCCAGAACAAAGAGCCCACATTTCTAGAGGGGCCAGATAAGTAGGGAGAATTTTCTGGTGCAGCTGCTACAGTAAGGCAGTTGGGTCAGTGATAACAGCCCTTGGAAGCATAAGCTCAACAGAAAGGTGAAGGCACTGTGCTAAGAGCTGGGGATACAAAGAAATACAAAAGATAGTTTCTGCCTTCATGGAAATAACTGTGTACAAACATGCTATAAACAGGAATAAATTGGAAACAATCAACATTCAAAAGGCACTAGAGGGGCAGCTAGGTGGTGCAGTGGATAGAGCACTGGCCCTAAAGTCAGGAGGACCTGAGTTCAAATCCCACCCTCAGTCCAAACACTTGACACTTACTAGCTGTGTGACCCTGGGCAAGTCACTTAACCCCAATTGCCTTTAAAAAAAAGGCACCAGAATTAAAAGATAACAGGACAGGCTTCCATGTAGGACAGTACCTGAGACTTGAAGGAAGCCAGCAGACAAAGATGAAGAGAGAGAGCATTCCAGGCAGCAGGGACAGCCAGTGAAAATGCCCAGAGTTGGAAGAAAGGGTATCATCAAGTTGGCCAATATCACAGTAGTACTGAGTGGAAAGGGTAGAGTGGAAGGAAAGGGGGAAGAGAAGCAGATGATGATGGGCTCTTAACAGCAAACAGAGGATTTTATGAGTATAGGGGTGACATGGTCACAGCTTCAATTTAGGAAGATCATTTTGACAGATGAGTGGAGGATGGAGTGCAGTGAGGAGCTGAGGCAGGAAGATCAAACAGCAATCTACTACAAAAAAGGCGTGAAGTGATGGCTGTTTACATCAGGATGGCAGCAGTCAGAGGAAAGAAGGGAGCACATCTG